ATCGTCGCAATAGCTCGGCCAACACAGATAACGCTCTGCTCGCAACCTCAAAAAAATCCAAGACCATTCCGAACACAAACGCACAGACACCCAAAGAAACACTTCCTCCTTCTCCAGGAAAGCCCGGCGCCCACTGAGTTTTCAAACCCAGGAATTTACCAGACTTCGAGGCCTGGTTTCAAGGCCCAGACTCCATGAGGCGGTGCTCCTGAGCGATGACGATGTGAGCTGAGGCCGAGGAGAGGTATGACTTGAGCGTGTGACCCAAGAATTGGTGTTCACGGTGGTGACTAAGAGGCCGTCATCCATTATGATCGCAGCTCCGTCAGACTCAAGACCATGAGGCCTGAGGACGCCGAGCAGCAGCAACAACACATCATCACGCACTCCGAGATGAGGGGCCTCACAATGTTCTCCCGACTTCTCCAGATGCTGCTTCCCAGCCGTGCCGGGCAGAGGCTGAGAGAAAAGGTGAGAGTCCCATGAGCTTTCTGGGGGTTCCTGCACTTCACTCGGCACCACAGGACGCCGAGCAGCAGCAACAAGACATAATCACGCACTCCGAGGTGAAGGGCCTCTGAATGTTCTCCTGACTTCTCCAGATGCTGCTTCCCAGCCGCGCCGGGCAGAGGCTGAGAGAAAAGGTGAGAGTCCCCTGAGCTTTCTGGGGGTTCCTGCACTTCACTCGGCACCACAACGAAACTTGCTAAACCTGGCACCGTACAACACCTGCAAGCGCCGAAAGACACGAATCCCCGAAGCCTGGGACCTGGAGCTAATCACAGAGAACCTCGAGGCAAACAAATTGAAAAGATCATGATCCCGGGAGGGTCTCGTGCCTGGGCTGCCCTTGCCGGATTCTGGCCCCCTATCGCTGCTCGTGTGCCACAGGGGGATGGGGATCCTGAAGGATATTGTCAACCCTGGCTCGAAGGTCCTCCTCTTCCTCCTCCTCCTCCTCCTCCTCCTCATCCTTCTCCTCCTCCTCCTCCTCCTCCTCCTCCTCCTCCTCCTCATCCCTCCTCCTCCTCCTCCTCCTCCTTTTCCTCGTCCTCGCCCTCCTCCTTGTCCCCTTTCCAAACGTATTGCGATCTATCTGTGTGTGTGTGTGTGCGGATATGCAATCTTATGTTCGCTGGCCTTCGGCCCGTGCCGCCACCATGCCTGGGTTGTAAGTGCGAAAGGGCCCTCTCGGTCCTTCTGGCTGGGGACCGCGGGAGGCACGCGGGGAGCAAAACACTTTGAGAATTCGGGGTCCGGGCTCGTGCCCACTCCGGTGGACCGAGGACCACAAAGGGACCTGAAGGCACGCTAGCTCGTGCCTCGGGCATGTGCAATTTGTCCATCGTCGTCGTCCTCGTCGTCGTCCTCCCCCTCCACCTCCTCCCTCCTCCCTCCTCCTCTTCCTCCCCCTCCTCCCCCTCCTCCTCCCCCTCCTCCCACCCATTAAACCAGAACATCAACGTCCGAACAAATCCAGAATACGAATGCCTGAAGTCGGAAGAGGGTCACGATCTGGCCTTCCGACGGCTCTTGACTATAATGGTGTCCGCTTTCGGAGCAATGGACCCGATGCAATCCACCATGCCAGCGAGTGAATTACTTTTTCTATCAGCACGCACACCATTCAGTCTCATCTTGATGACCAATGAGCCAACGCCTCCAACCACGAAGGCACGCATCAACTTATAAACCCGAACATCTCCTCCGCAACGTGACAACCGTGATCGGAATTTGGGCCGATCTCTCCAACTGCTCAGCTCGGAGAGGCTGCTCCGCGCAGCTTGACCCTGGCACCACCTGTGGCGAAGATTGGTTCATTACTTCCATCATCTTCACTCGCTCGACGCTCCTGTTTTAGTATCCCATGTAGGGTCGTCTCGTTCTCATCCTTCCCCTCTTCCCGCCTGCCCACTAGAGTGGATGGAGATCGATGGGGGGGGGCATGTGGACGAGGGGGGGCCTTCTGGACTACGATGCTCCGCGCGATTCTTGCAAAATTGTCGCGAACACCCCCGTGCACTCCCCAATGGGGCGGGCGGATTTGCCCTCGGGGGCCTGGGGATGGGGAGTGGGGCGAGGAAGGCGCAAGGAAGACGAAGGGCGATGAGGGCAGAAGGGAGGTGAGGCAAGCTCGTTTCTTCCGGGTGAGGGATGAGGCAAACTTGCCTAACACGCCTGGCCCTGGTGGCCAGGGCCGCGGGAGGATGAGGGAGGAGACGGGGGGAACGGCTGATTGAAGCAAGGACAGAGGGGACGAGGGTATCGAGGACGGGGGATGGAAGTGGGGCAAATGGAGAGGGAGAGGGAATGAAGAACATTGGGAGGTGAGGTGGAGGGACTGAGAGCGGAAAAGGAGGGACGGAGGGAAGAAGGGAAGGAGGCCCTTCATTATTCTCGCCGTCCTTCTCCTCCAGATCCTCCTGGTCTCATCCTTCTCACCTTCCCTTCAGCATCCCCCGTCCTCCTTCTCTTCTGCCCCGTCCTTCCCATCCCCCCCTTAGGAGGCCACCCTCTGTCCTCCTTGCGCAAGTAGAACTCTGGGCACCGCTTCGTGCTCCACTTGGACGCCTCCCTCTGGATGCGGGCGAAGAAATCCAGCTGGAACTCGTACCTTGTGTCTCCAGAGTTAGAGACAAAGAGCGAATGAGACATAATTTATTAAAACAATGTTTCGTAAGATGGGGTAGTGGACAAGAACTGCTGAGTTGGAACAGGACAATGTCAGCCCCGCCTCCTGCACCTCTTCCACGGGACATAGTTCTGGGTGGAGGAATATTTATGTTTCTCCCTGGCGAATCCTGCGCGGGCTCTGCGAAGACAGCCTCGACGAGAAAGGCCAAATCATTGATATTAGCAAGGTTTGGGCTGCATTTTGGCCTCCGGGGGGGCCCTCCTTTGATGATTTTTTTCTAAGATGGCCCAAAGGTGGCCCCCAAGGCTCCCAAGGGCGCTCCAAGAGGGCCCCAAGAGCCCAGGAGGCCCCAAGAGGCCTCGAAGAGGCCCCCGAGGGGATCCCATGAGACCCCCAAGACGCCGCAGGAGGCTCACCAGAGGCACCCAAGACGCCCCAAGGGGCCTTGGCGAGAATACCAACATCATGTATTTCCCAACCATCCTGTGGTGTTGGGTCCTCGTTTTGAAGAGACAACGTCCCGCGTCTCCTCCTCTCCTGTCCTCTCCTCCTCCTCCTCCTCCTCCTCCTCCTCCTCCTCCTCCCCCTCCGCGTTATTCTGTGTCGGCACACCAAATACAGCGTTTCGTGGCCCCATAAGGAGTTGCACCGAAGGCCCCAGTGCAAGGGCCCGCATGCCGCCACCTCGCCATTTCGACACACCCCTCACACGTTTCGTGGCCCCGTAGGGAGCTCCACCGAAGGCCCCAACGGCAAGGCCCACTATGCGACACTGTGGCACCGGTTAAGGCCGCCCCCCCGGGGGGCCTATTCATCTCTCTCTCTCTCTCTCGCTCTCTCTCTATAGATATATCGTTTTTTTTTTTTTTTTTTTTTTTTTTTTTTTTTTTTTTTTTTTTTTTTTTTTTTTTTTTTTTTTTTTTTGTTTTTTTTTTTTTTTTGTTTTTTTTTTTTTTTTTTTTTTTTTTTTTTTCTTTTTTTTTTTTTTTTTTTTTTTTTTTTTTTTTTTTTTTTTTTTTTTTTTTTTTTTTTTTTTTTGTTTTTTTTTTTTTTTTTTTTTTTTTTTTTTTATTATTTTTTATTTATCTCTCTCTCTCTCTTTGCTCTCTCTCTATATATAAATATATTTATATATAAAATATTACACACAGATCATAACGTTTCATTTGTGCATGTGTATGCTTGTAATCATACCTCTACATGCTTGCTGTGTTGCCCCAAAAAGATATGAAGCTTCTTTCGTGCTGTTCAGGATTGTACATATGCCCTCAAAGCTTGGCCGAAACCTACGTTACATTTATTTTGCCTGGTGCCGCGGCCGAAAATGCTTGGGAACGTACGCATTTCAACACTCTGGTTAACTTGGCGGCGAGCCTGGGGGAAGCCTTGTCAGAAGGCTCGGAAATACTTCGGCCTTTTCAATATGTTTTCAAATCCTTCCCCGGGGACACGGACACCTTCTCAGAAGGCGCGGGGGCTTCTGAGAAGTCCCGTCGCCTTCTGAGGAGGCCTCTCCTTTTCACTTCCTCCCTCGCTTGCCGCCGATTAACTTTTTGTTGGGGCTCGCGTTAATACGGTGCCAAGGCTTGTCGAGCAAGACGCTCGTTGAACCCGTCCAGCACGTACAATGTCAAAACCACTTCCACACAACATCCGTTCATCTCGCAAGAAGAACCCCTTCCATGTATCCCTTGCCCACGGGCATTCGATCTACTGCTGGGCTCATCTGGCTGCTGCTCGCATGCCGAGCACTTCCGCTGATCTCCGACCACCAACCGGCTGACTCTCCTTCGCCCACCTCTCTCATTTCTTCCTCCCTCCCTGTGTCCCTTCGCCCTCCATCCTCCCCTCCCTCCCTCCTCTCCTCCCTCACTTCGCCACCCTGCATCCCTCCCCCTTCCGACTTCCTTTCTTCCTCCTCTCTCCCTGCTTTCCTTCGACGTCTTCCCTTCCCCCCATCGAGTGGGCGCGGGCACGCGGCTCCGTCGCCGCTAGAGCTGGCGAACTCCAGCCTCCCGTCCTGTAGGTGCACCCGCAGGTCTGCCGCATCCTGGCCAGGGGTCCCCTCGCTTTCCTCGTCTTCCTCCTCATCCTGAAGGTCTGCCGCATCCTAGCTGGGGTACTCCTCCTTCTCCTCCTCCTCCTCTTCCTCCTCCGCGATTCCTCCTCCTCCGGGAGAAGATGAAGATGAATCTGCATATGAAGATGATGATGATTCTGATGATGATGATGCTGCTGATGATGCTGCTGCTGCTGCTGCTGCTGCTGCTGATGATGATGATGATGATGATGATGATGATGATGTGGATGCTGACTATGATGATGATGCTGATACTGACCAGTGTCGGCCACCGCTCTGGACATGCCATCATTCGCAAGGCGGTGACCAACTCGTGATACCGGCAAAGCTAAAGCTCAACTCTCAGCCGTGCTTGCTGCTACAGCTGCCGCTGAACGGGCTGGGGGGGACGCATTGTGTGCAGACGCGGAAACCCAAATATCATTCGCATCGGCTGAGACCTTAAGACGCTTGACCGTCTTGGCCTCGAACTTATTGGTGAGGAGGGCCTCCAGCCCCTCCAGGTCGCTCGGGTCGACGGTCTCGGCCGTGCGCATCTGCCTAACCTCGAGCTCCTTGGACTCATCCTCGCCGAGCAGATCTGCATCGTCATCATCTCTATTGGTCGCTCTTGGCCTCCGAGTTCCTCGCCGCCGTGTGTCGCCTGCCCCCCTCCAGCACCTGCTGCGCATAGTAGGTTGCGCGCTGCCAGTTGAGCTGCACGAAGAGCTGGCCACTCAGCGAGCGAGACCCTGGTGACATCGGCGATGCGTCGAAGGTCGCCATCACTGCACTCATGAAGCAGCAGCAGCCGCCCAGCGCAGAGGCTGAAAAGCCCCCCCAAATGGTGCTGATGCGAGAGGAGGAGGAGGAGGAGGAGGAGGAGGAGGAGGAGGAGGAGGAGGAGGAGGGAGGAGGAGGAGGAGGAGGAGGAGGAGGAGGAGGAGGAGGAGGAGGAGGAGGAGGAGGATGAGGAGGAGGAGGAGGAGGAGGAGGAGGAGGAGTGGAATGCAGCCGCAGCAGCAGCGGTGGTGGCCAGGGGCGGGGCGCCTCCTGCAGCCCCTGGGCCGGGGGCGTCGGCCGCCCGGCTGCCGGGGCACGCCTCGCCGCCCGAGAGGGGGGCAGGCGGCCTGAGGCCCCATGGCCCTCGCGGCCTCCGCTGCTGCCCGCTGCGCACGCCTGCACTCTTCCTCGCTGAGCTCCTCCTCCTCCTCCTCCTCCTCCTCCTCCCTCCTCCTCCCCCTCCTCCTCCTCCTCCTCCTCCTCCTACAGCTCGTGGCTTGTGGCAGGAGGCCAGATGCCCGAGTGCCAGCGCCCGCGCGTCCAGCTGCCGCTGCGGGCCCTTCGCGGACAGGGCGCGCAGGAAGCAGAGCACCTCGGCCGCCAGCGCAGCAGCACGAGGGTGGCCTTCGCATCACCATGCGCTCGACGAGGAACCTCCAAGTCGCTGGTGGCCTGTTGGTGTATGCTGCTTCTGCTTCGGCCGCTCTCGCTCGAGCTTTGGCCAGCGCCGCCTGCTTCGCCGACCGGTATTGCCACGCCATCCTCGACGACTTGGCCGCCTGCTCCACGTCATTAGCAAGCTGGGTCCTCCTGGCTGCCACGGGCAAGTCCGAGTCGGTGGCAATCGGTGTCTGAAGGGGGGGGGGGGGCGTTGGTCGGCAGGAGAGCTTGCGGGCACTTCACCATCTCCAGGGCAAGAAACTGCTGCCGCCGATTCAGACCAAATAGGGCGACATGGGCACCCGCACTTGGAGCAAGACATGTGACCCCAATACGTGTACACCCTGCGAAATGCTTTAGAAATCATGGGTTAAGAAATTCATAGTCTCAGAACTCGAATAAAAACCCAAAAGTTCCATTAAAATCTTGGGATTTACGTTGAAAAATTAAGAATAATCGAGACTCTGGACGAAAACTTAGGTTTTCTTAAGCATCGCCTAAGGTGTACGCTGTAGGGGTAGTTGTGGTCCCAGGTTCGCCGCTGCCGAGGCCGACGCACACCACCTCCCACACGAGCGTGACCAGCTTGAGAAGACTGGCCCTGCCACACCCACGGCGCGCGCGCCCACTGCTGGCCATATGCGCCCATTGCGCACACAGGGAGAGGTTGCTCCACCAGGAGCTCGCAAAACTCTGCCGCCAGAGAGCGTGCGGGCTTCTCTCTGGTGGCACTCTCGCGCTGCCACAATGACCTCGGGCCCGCCGCACTGCTGCGGAGAAGCTCGAAGCCTCGCGGCAAGGTCTCGAACTTGAGCCAACATGGCTACGGGGAGGGGGAGGAGGAGGAGGAGGAGGAGGAGGAGGAGGAGGAGGAGGAGGAGGAGGAGGAGGAGGAGGAGGAGGAGGAGGAGGAGGAGGAGGAGGAGAGAACAGCAGAACGATGCAGATGAGGAATGAGGGAGGAGGGGAGGGAAGAGGGGAGGGATAATGCGGGAGGGTGGAGGCTGGACTGATGCAGGATGGAGATATTCGAGGAGAGGGGGGGGAGGGAGGGAGGGAGGGAGGGAGGGAGGAGGAGGAGGAGGATGAGGAGGAACATGAGGAGGAAAATGAGAAGGGGGAGAAAGACGAGGAGGAAGATACACATGATGAGGATACTGAACGTTGTGGTGTCGCGCTGGTGCCACTAATGGTTGGCATACCCCTTCCGAAATGGAAGGAAAACGAAACCAAATGTCTGAAGGCGTGCAACCGTAAACGGTTCGAATGGGTCTTCCTTCTCGCGCTCCTCAGTCTCCCCCTCTCTCCCTCCGTCTTCTGTCGTCAGTCTCCTCCTCCTCTTCCTGGGAGGGACAGAAGAAGGACGAAGAGGAGGGGTGAAACGGAGAGGAGGACGATTAAGCCTGGAGTGGGACGGGTAGGGGATATGGACTGAGCGAGGGAGGAGGGGTGTGGGGGGGGGGAGGCGGAAGAGGGAGAACGAGGCTGATGAGGGGGAGCTCCTTGATGTCGATGGTGAGGAAGACCGAGTCCCACGGCCCCACGATGGGGCTCGGAGGCGCGTCAATGGTCAACACGCGGGCGGGGGGGGGCGAACGCTGGTCCGTGGGGGGTAATCGTCGTCGTGGTCGTTGACGTTGCGGTCGTGGTCGTGGCTGTTGCGGTGGTGGTGGTGGTGGTGGTGGTCGTCGTCGTCGTCGAGGCGTGGCTCCTCCTCCTCCTCCTCCTCCTCCTCCTCCTCTTCCTCCTCCTCCCCCTCCTCCTCCTCCTCCTCCTCCTCCTCCTCCGCGTCCTCCTCTATCTCCTCATCGTTCCCCTTCACCGCCCCACTCCCCCTCCTCCTCCACCACTTCGCGTCTCCTCCATTTATACATCTCGAGGGCGGAGGAGGGACGACGAGGGGTAGAGGAGGGCCTGAGGGGAACGATGAGGAGATAGAGGAGGAAGAGGAGGAGGATGAGGAGGACGAGGGGGGCAGGGAGAGGAGGAGGGGCAGGAGGAGGAGGGAGAGGGTCACCGAGGAGGTAGGAGAGGGAGTGAAACGAAATATGTTCAGGAGGAGGAGGAGGAGGAGGAGAACATGAGGATGTGAGGAAGAGGGGATGGGGTGGAACGTGGCGGGAACGGGGGGAGGAGTAGCGAGAAGGGTAGACGAGAAGAGAGGGGCGAGGGGAGCGAGAGGGGAGGGAGGATGCCCCCACGACCCCGGGGCTGGCGGTTTGGCGGCAGCACAAGCGGGATCCCTCCGCTGTGCCCACAGTATCTGGGGCTTCAGCGGCTGTGCCATCCCTGCCAGGCGTCCCCGGCGGAAAATCAGGATGCAACAAGGATAATAATGATGATGCTGCTGATGCTGATGCTGATGGTGATGGTGATGATGATGCTGATGATGCTGATGATGCTGATGATACTGATGATGCTGATGATACCGATGATGATGACGTTGATGATGCTGATGAGGATGACGACGATGTATGATGATGGTGATTCTGTTGCTGCTGGTGATGGTGACGATGATGATGGTAATGGTGATGACGATGATGCTACTGATGAGGATGATGATGGTGATGGTGATGATGATGCTGCTTGTGCTGATTATGGTGATTATGCTGATTAGTATGATTCTAAAACTGATGGTGCTGACGATGGTGGTGATGTTTATGACGATGACGATGACGATGCCGATGACGATGATGATGATGATGGTGGTGGTGGTGGCGATGATGGTGATGATGACGCGGATGATGATGATGATGATGATGATGATGATGATGCTGATGATGATGATGATGATGATGCTGATGCTGATGATGATGATGATGCTGATGCTGACGATGATGATGATGATGATGATGATGGTGATGCTGATGATGGTAATGCTGCTGATGATGGTAATGTTGGTGATGATGCTACTGCTGCTGATGCTGCTGATGGTAGTGATGATGCTGCTGATGATTATGATGGTGCGGATGCTGCTGATGTTGATGGTGCTGATGATGCTGGTGCTGCTAATGAAGATGATGATGATGATGATGATGATGATGATGATGATGATGATGATGATGATGATGATGATGATGATGCTGATGCTGATGCTGATGCTGATGATGATGATGATGATGATGATGATGATGATGATGATGATGATGATGATGATGACGATGGTGATGATGGTGGTGGTGGTGGTGAGGCGGCGGCGGAGAAGAGGAGAGGGGGAGTAGGAGGGGGCATGAGATTTGCCAGAAAACGCGCGCGCAGGCGACCCCCTCGTCAACACTGCGGGGGCCTGGTGGGGTGCCCAGATGCGCGGTCGTGCCACCCGGGTCCCAGCCATCCCAGCACTCGCCTCGCCTTCGCCCGAAGGGAACTTTCCTTCCTCGCCTCCCCCACGCGCCCCCCTTCCAAAGGGGAGGCGCCGCGCGTCGCATCCGCCCGGGCCTCGCTCCGCGACTGCTTGGGGGCCTCGCTCCGTGACCGAGGTGACGCCTCGCTGTGCGCCTGGGGACTGAGCACCGGCGGGAGTCTGGCTCCACGGCCGACTGGCGGCGCGCAGGGGGGGCGGGCAGGGGGAGGGGGGAAGGCCTCTTGGGAGGAGGCTGCTTCTCAGAAGGCGCCGGTCCTGCATCCACAGACAAAGCCCGCGCCTTCACCCTCCGAGGAGCAGGGAATGCTTCCTAGAAGCCTCCCCACCTCCCCCTGCGGCCGGGACTAGGACAGAAAACAACCCTCCGAGAACACGAGACCCTCCGCCGGCCAAGCTGCAGAGCATTCGAGGGTACCCTCCCCCAGGATGCACAAGAGACGAAAGACGAAAGGAGGGCGCGGTACCGCCAGGGGCGGGGCCCTTCAGGGCCTACGCAGAGGGGCGGGGGTCCCCAGTGCATCCTGTCCGTGTTTGCCGGGCCGGTGGACGCTGGAGGTTGGAGTGCTGAATTCTGAGCTGGTGGACGCTGTACGTCGACAGGTGGAGGTGGAAGTCGAGAGTCAGAAGCTGGATGCTGGGGGTCGGAGTGCTGGGTTGGTGGAGGTTGGTGGTCGTTCGTCGGAGGTGGAGGTGGAGAACATCCAACAAACACGAATAACATCAGTCGGCTACACGCAATAATGACCCTGGGTAAGAGCGACCTTTGGTGCGCGGCTTTTGTGGGGCCGCTAGAGGGCCAAACACACCGCGCAAGACGCCACTGCCGCCTCGCGTTCGGCGATTGGGAGACCCCAGTGGGCCCGCAAGGTCACTCCGGCGAAGGGTCACTTTTACTCGTAGTCGAATTCGGGTACCCTCCCCGAGCCGACCTCGATCCTATACCTCGGTCCGACCAAACCCCCTCGGGGATCTACCGACCCGGGTCAA